AATATCAAGCTTATGCTCAATAATTCATGCATAAATAAAATCTTTAACCAAAACTCTATTATCACATCATATTTAATAACTATGTTAAATCAACTCAAAACAACCTTTTATGTTCAAGAATTCACATATTAACTATCATGTTCAACAACTTGCATTCATTTTCATAATAATCAAATCACATCTTATCAACGTAGCCTTATACCATGCAACATACAATCTGTATCATTTACTATGCTATATTTTCATATGCATTTTTTTATAACATACCATAAAACCATGATTTACATACAAATAGTCCAATCATGTAACTTAACTATTTACACAATCAACAGGCTCTAATATTATTATGCCATTCCGTAACTATATTTATTAAACTCATAAGTGTAGACACACACATATATAAAAGTTTAACTTTTGATTACACCAACTCTTAATTTATCACACCAAGAGTGCAGCTTGGATTCCAAGAAAGCTCACGAACAGTCCATAAGGTCTAAGAGTAATTAATTTACAGTTTATGATTAGCAAACGTCATTAATGACTAATTGTCATTAATTAGCTTTTAATCATAAGTAAGGCCCAAGATCATAATTAGTGATTTTGATGATAAACAATGCCATTCTCAACTTTCATTAGCTCATTTAACCTCCTATTAGTCTAAATACTACTAATAAACAACATCATTAACTAAATCTTAGTTGATTAGCATTAAGGCTGAGCTTAAATCCAACATTATCAACATAGATGATGGTCATTAGCATAAATCAAAGATTAGGAATGTAAGTAACCATCCTTAGACTCCTAAGAAGTTATTGGAATAGGAAGAAGATGGCTATAGGCTCATACTTTATCATCACAACCTAGTAACTTGTAGAAAACCTAAGGAAAAGAGGTGAAAAAGCTTACCCAATGTGTCTCAAGCTCTAAAAAGCCTCTTCTAGCTAGAATTAGTAATCTCTAGTAGAGTCACCATCACCATCCCTCACTCTCACAACTCTACCCCTCTTCTAATCTATCCAAAATTATGTCTTTGCGATTTTAAAATTACATCATTTTTGTAGCGATGAATGATAATACCAGCCGCACTAGATAGCCAAAAACAAAAATCCTCACTTAAGTTTATTAAATTTGGCCTAAAGTGACCCATATTACAACTAGGGTCTGAATTTAAATCCCATACAGGGTCAAATGGACCCAATGATCATCTAATTACCTTAATTAATCCTATTAAGATCGAAATAAATTAACTTAACCTTATAATTAACCTTAATTAATCTTATTAAATTTTAGGATATTGCATTACTTGCTTGACAATGGGTTGGGTAGGTACGTGGGTAAAATGCTCACCCCTACATCCAAGGAACCCCAACAGCCAACATAAAGGAATTTTAGTTATTTTGATTTTTGACTGCCATGCCCAAAGTAGTAACACTTTGCAGGTCAGGGGATGAGCTTTATAGAAATAATTTCATTTTAATGTTACAATTAAAGTGATGCATATATACAAAACTCCTCAGCCAATTATTTCACACATCTTCCTGATTGGTTTGTGCTTTGTTACAAACAAATTAATCAGAACGATGTGTGAAGTAATTGGCTGAAGCCTGAAGAGCCAGCAAATATCAGTCTATCTATATATATATTTGCGTCACTTTAACCCAGAATCATGTGAATGCAAATTGAAGCAAGCATAAAATGCACAGGTATTTGACTTATATTGCATTTTTTAGAAAATTCAATGCCTTATATACCACTATCTTTAATGCTAATCTGACTAAGCAAAGACACGTGTCTGGAAAAATAACAAAAATATCAGCGCGAGACAATCCTACAACGCTCAACTCAAGGGATCGGATTCAAATAATCAGAGCAAATACATGTGCAGTTTAATTTTTAAGGGATCCCTGGACAGCAGCACATTTGGAAAAACACAACATATACATTTAATTAATCAGTTGGCAAAAATAAAAATAACTGGAAATTTACAAGGCTTGAATTTGGCAGATGTAGGTTAACTACCAAGATAGCACATGTAACATTAATCTATATTTTATTCAAATTAAGGTAGGGGATGGATTGGAGGCGATATATAAGTATGGAGTTCGACTCGGATTATATATTTTTGATTGACTGCGAAAACGTGGAACTGAAACACTTGGACCCGCTTTGACTTATGATTGACCAATAACTGTGCAGGATCGATCAACCAATCGCCAGATAAGAATTTTGTAATTACTATGAAAACCCAGCCAATCATTCCACGTCAATGATATCACTCTAACGTATTAATTCTGTATCAGCTAGCTTATTTGCAAGATCCTACATATATTCATTATTCAAGGGGAAAAAAGAGGTGAAAAGCTGCAAAATGAGAAGAATATCTAGATTTGAGCTAGGAAAATCCTGTTCATGCTTGATATTAGGTTAATTGAAGCACATAATCACCCCAAGAGAAGAAGGGATGTATAAGACTGAAATTATCTTCTTTATTATATCTTGTTTGTTGAGAAGTTACAGAATAAGTTCTCACCACACTAGATAGTGGAGAACTTCTTTAACATTCCCATGTCCAGAACATAAAGCAAAAGCACTAGCTAGCAAATCAAACAAAGTCAGGGATTTGCCCCCATATATATATATATATATTACAACAACAAAATACTCCGGCCAGAGGCCTAAAACGTACTATTATTGGAAACCCAGCACGAGTAGCAACATAAGCAGTGGGATTACAGGGAAAAGAAAAGCAGAAAAGAGAAGAGAAAAATACAAATATAAGGTAGGAAATTGAGTCAACTTTCTGGAAACTCCCTGGAGAGATCAGACCGAGGGAGTTGAAAATGCCAAAGGATCGAAGTTGCCCTTTCAAAGAGAATTCACCTTCATGAAGGAGGTTTCATTCCCAGCAAGCTTAATTATTAGTCGCTGCTCCACTTACTAGCAAGAGAGCATGAAAAGCAGACACGTCAGTACAGTGAGATGGTGCGTGTGGACACTTAGCCACCATGTTCACCACCCTCCAAAGCCCAGAATGCGAAATTAATGGAGGACTTGAAGACATGGTGGGGCAATGGAGGGAGGTGGCGGAGAAGCTCTAGCATTCACATGGTGGTGCAGAGACGAAGAGGGTTTGAGAAAGAGGTTAAGATTGGTTGTTATAGGATTTGCTTGTTTCTTTGATCGCGACGGCAATAAAAGGCTGAGATGACTTCACTTAAGTAACAGGCGTAGAAGGTGACTTTTTGCTAAAGTAACATTTGAAAAATAAGGAAGAAAGAGAAAAGGAGGTACCTTCTTTGGGATCTTCCAAAGCATATGCCATTCCCACCTTCTTTCCTCCGCGTATATCTCATATGACTGTTCCTTTTCCCTCTTAATTCCTATATTGATCTCTCCTTTCTTCACGAGGTGAGACTTTAATTCACCTCCTGGGTTTAATAGTTTTGAATTTGCCATGCAAAAATTGCAAATGAAGGGAGGCTCCGTATTAAAAGATTATAAAGTTCTTCCTTCCTTTGCTTTTCCTTCATGCATTTTTTTTTTTTGGCTTTCTTGCGCTTTTATTACAGCGCTGAGACCTTGACTGTTGAGGAAATTATGATAACCTTGCAATGTTATCAAGGTAACTAACAAAAGGATTTAGAAACAATTTGTTAGGCCAATATATAAAACCAACTAAGCCAGGTGTCGCTCAATAATTTGTCATAAATTGGGCAGTGTCTCCTTTAAGGGGAAACGCTTTACTCCATATAATATAATTAGAAAATGTCTTTTTTCTGCCAGTAGTTTAGAGCCTTTTCTCATCCGAGTAAGATTTCATATTCTTAGGTCACAATAGCAAGCGGCACTATTCTTTGCTTCCATTTAGATTCAAGTTTGATACTCTGTTTTTCCCATTTTTTGTGTAATGTATGCCCTTGTAGAGAGGTTATACTCTTTCAAGAGTGTTTTGAGACCAATTTTAAATAATAAATTAGAGAGTTAAGTATTTAAAATAGCCTCTCAAATGATAGAAGAAGAAATGGATGACGGTTCAATAATAAATTATCTAGACTTCCCTAATTGGTCACTTGCATTCGTTAGAATGACAACAGGAGAGTGAAAGAGCAAGAGAAACAAGAGAAGCCAATTATGTAGAGAAATTACAGTTTTTATGAGTTAACCCCTCGCGCGCGCGCCCACGCATATATATATATATATATATATATTCAAAGTAAAGAAAACAAATAAAAGAATTCGTTGAGGGCTTAGTGATGTGCATTATAAGTCTGTAGACAAGGAAGCTCCACAAGAATATTATTTGATGCCGAAGTAAACAATATGATACTTACACCTCGTTTGCTCTTAATTTGACTTTCCTTTTGTTTTATTTCCTTTCTTCGTCCCACCACTTTTTATTAATTTCAAGAAAGGGTAGTTAGTAAGCACAAGCACAATTGTCGAATTGCTAACGTACGCATTTATAACAAATGTCAGCACCACTAACTGTTTAGGTTCATAATATTTTAACTAAAAGGTTCCTTCTTTTGTTTATTTATTATTTTTTCTGGTTGATATGTATGCTGACGAAAGTTGATATTCTTGACATGAAAATCATTTTTGAACTAGTGTCATGTAAATTATTGCTCCATTGACCCAATATCACTCAATAAGCGGAATACTCAAGTTTAATGTCGGACAACTTTTTGGGTCTCATCTTTTACATTTTTGCTGCCTTGCCTTCAGTTAGAAACTTAGAATACCAAATGTCTTTTATTCTTTTTTCACTTAACTATTTCAAATTAATTGAAACCTGATTCCCTTAAGCCATTAACATGTCACCCGAGCAGGAAAAAGGCAGTTCTTAGTTATGCAAATTTGTTTAAAAGCGGCTCAGGACGGTGCAGACCTATGTAAGCACCTCAAAGCTAGTTTATTCTATACCATGACCGTATCATGCTGTTCCTCTCTCCTCCTCTCCTTGCTAGTGGGATCATCGTTAGGCACTATAATACAAAGAATTATTAATATTCCTTTTCTGGTATTAAATAATAGCAGCATTTGCGGACCAATAAATCACAGTAACATTCATGGAATCACAGTTAAACTAAATGTTAACAGTCACTTCCTACTAGGGTTAGTCCCCCTAAAGTAAACGCAACTTCTATTGTCTTATTATCATCCCACACAATGATTCATTTCCGAAAAGATACATACAATACTTTTGCAGCTATGAAGCTCCGACATTTGAATCAAGATAGCTGGCAATGGAAGTTAATTAAAGGGTCACATCCTTTTGGTTCTTTGCCACCTTCAGCTTCATTACAAGTTCCTCACGTTGAGCTTCTACCTCAGCAAATTTTAGGCTCATGTGGAAGTAACGCTCCTGAAGGTCTCTCAACTCAGCCTCTAGCATTGATTTTGTTTGTTCAAATCTCTCTTTGGTCACTATTTCACCATCTGCAATTGATTTTACTGGGGCTTCCTCGTAATCCTGGCCTTGAGATTGAAACCTGTGGAATGATAGTACGTGTAAATCAGCAAATGTTGCAAGATATTGACTGATGGTGAGAAAAATCAGAAGGTTGTCATCATCTGCACGAGATATAATCAATAGCGTAATGGGCTACACAGTATACACACAGATCAAAAGTTTTATCAGTTCGTTTTCAAGGGACAGCCTGTTCTTCTAACCGGTTTGATTGATCTTCAATCATGTTATTCGCTCCTTTAGCTTTTATTAGCTCAGTCTCAAGTAACTCAATCTTTGATAATGAACCAGCTTCAACAGCATGAACACTCCCATCAAGAAGTCCAAGTTCATTTTCTGCCTGTCAAAAGAAAAAGGAGTCCAGGAACATAAGCATTAAGAAAAGCTCCGAAATGTTCAGTATAACTGCAGTTATGAGAGATTACCATATAAGGCCACATGTAAGAAATTAGAGATATGCATCATAATATTCAATGCGGAGGCAAAACATTTGAGTAATATACAAGTCTGAGAAGCTTGTAAACAGACTCTTGAGAAGGAATTTACACAGGTCTTCTCCATTTTATGTTCCTTTTTCTCTAAATTACTAGTGCAAAATGCAATCAAGTAATATTCTAATTAAAGGAATCACCTCGCTCTGATGCTTGTCAGTGGAAATGTCTTGTTGATCCTCCACAATTTCTCTATCATTTCTGAAGAACGGCTTTGTCTGATTTCCACAATGTTGACCAGTATTCTTCACAATAGAATTCTGCAGGAGGGAAAAACATGACAACGAACATAATTTGGGAAGATGAGAAAAAGCATACTAAGTTGTGATACCTTTAGAGCCTCATGAGTAGGTAATGCGTTCCCATTAATCTTAGGCATTAGGTTTTGCTTTTGTTCCTTAATTAGTTTCAATTCTTCTTCAAGGGCCTGGGCTTTTGTCTTGAACTCGTCTTTTTCCTTATCTAGTAATCTTATTGTTTGTTGATAATGCCTGTTTATTCTTTTGATGTGACTGAGCTCATTTTTCTTCTCAGCTTCCTGGGCAGACATTGTTTCCTTTTCCTTCAAGTCACTCTCCATCTGCATAAGCTTTTCTTCTAGGGATACTCTACTTCTTCTGCAGTCTTCCAATTCAGATAAAGCATTCTCCAAGGTTAAAATCTTCGCTGCAAGTGAATTTTTCTTTGCCTTCAGATTCTCACATGATTCAGAAGTCAAGCATAAGGATGCCACCAGTCTTTCTTTCTCAGAATTGGTCCAGTTGAGCTCATTTCTTAGAGTCATAATTTCACTCTCAAATCCTTCTATCTGCTGCAGCTGAATCTTCAAATTCTCAGACTCCTCCGCAAGTTGTTGTCTTTCACAGTCAGTAACTTTAAGCTTTAATTCAAGGGTTTTCAGGGTGCTGTTGACTTTTAGTTCTCTAGATTTGTAATCTTCCAACTGCTTCAACAACTTTTCATAGTCAGCCCTCCAAATTTCCTGGTCACTTTTGAAAGCAGAAAACTGAGTAGTGAGGTCCTGTAGCTTTCGTTCATAATCCGTCTGCATAATAATCATCTCATTCTTAGTTGAAATTGCATCAGATTGAACTTCTTCAAAGGCAGATTCCAGTTTGGCTTTATCAGCAGTTAATGTAGAAATTTCAAGGGCAGCTTTGGAAGCTATCCTTTCATTTTCATCATGAGTTGCTGAAAGTTCCATACTGAGGTGCTCAATTTTTTGTTGAAGGTTCTGAATTTCTGCTGTCTTCTCCATGAGAAGCTGATTCATCAAGCTTTGACCATTCTCGTTGTGCCTGATATTTTCATCAACAAGAACATCTAAGTCTGAAATCAGACTCTTCTCCTTTGATGCATTCTCTTCCAGCATCAAAGCAAATTTATTTTCCAAGAGCTCTAATCTTTCAGAGCAAACTATAAATATTTCGTCTGATTCTCCCAATCTATTTCCAAGGATTGAGCAATGCTCTTGCAAATCCTGCTTTTGCTTTCTTAAATCTTCATTTAATTTCTGAAGAGAATTGCATTCTTTAGCAAGATTCTCGATAGCAGTTTGTAACTGCTGATTTTCTTTTCTCAGATATTCACATTTTGTTGAGATTCTGACCACTGATATTGTTTCACATTCATATTTTCTTTCAAATCTTCTATTGAAGAATCCACCTCAGACTTTATCTTCATAATCTCTTCTTGAAGCATTTTGGCGTGAGATCTGGAGTTCTCCAATTCTGATAGACTAGAATGTCTCTCATTTGTCAAATAAATTAGTTGAGCTTCCAAAACAGACATTTGCATTGCCAATTGTTCCTTTTCCTGTTCTAGGTCTGATATGTAATGCTCCAGTTTATGTTTTCCACTTTCAAGCTCCAACGATTTTCTTCTGAGAATTTCATTGGCAGAGACATGGGAGTCCACGCTCCTGCAAAGAATTCCCAAATCATTTTGCAAATCATTCAAGCATTTAGCGTTGATATCTCTTTCTTTCAACATGACCTCCATATGCTCCTCTAGTTGAATTTTTTCATTTTGAAACTGGCATACCTTCGCTTCCAACTCACTCTGTCGCTTTTGCAGAACCCAAATCTCCTTTTCCTTAGACAACAAATTAGCCTCAAGATCTGCCATCTGAGATATTTTATCAGCTACTTCGTTACTCAGTTCTGCCATTCTGATTTCAAGAGCAGCTTTTGAACTCTGGAGCTCTTGAATTGAAATTTGATCATTATTTTTAACCTTGCCAGTGACTCCTGCTTCGAGCATGTCTTCTAAATGGAGTGCTTGGAATGCATCTGAGATGTGTGGTAGCAAATCCTCACATGCTCCCTTTCTTGAATTGTTCTTCACTTTTTTAAGCTTGAATAAGAGCTCAAGATTTTCATCTGCCAGTTCATTGCATTCCATCTCTAGCTCTTGAACTTTTTCTCTCAAAACTTCAATTTCTCTCATCAGATCTGCATCACCTCCATTTCGGGACACAATCTCTGTGTTACAACTTTCTTTGAGAGACTGAGACAACTTTGCTTTCAAATTTAAAATCTCTGCCTCTTTTGCAGATAATTTGCTTTCATATTGCATTTCAAGATCGACAAGGGTCTTGTTGATAGTATTCTCTGCGCTTTCAATGTCAAGCCTTTTGTTCTCCGAACCCCCTTCTTGTTGTTGCCCCTTATCCATAAGACTTTCCTTTAGTTCCTCCAATTGTTCTGGCTGGAGATCATTCAATTTTGATGATGAAGCTGAAAGACTTCCTATCTCAATTTTCTGCTGTTCTATGGTCTCTTCAAGCTCATGGAGAACAGAAACGAGCTCAAGATTTGCTTCCTGGTTCCTCTTCAATTCCAAAGACAAGTTGGTATAGGATTCTTTTTGAGACTTCAACTCATCTTTGAGGGCCTTCTCTACTTTGGGAGTAAATTCACCTTGAGATAATGAATCCTCCAATGCTTTCTGTTTCACCATCTGGTCCTCCAATGACTGCTTCAGTTGTTCAACTTCTCTTCTCAAGTTATCACGTTCTGCACATGAATCTGAAAGCTCCATTCTTAAATCTACCAGATTCTTAGACTGTCCTGAGAATTCTGCCCTCAACACGTCCAAATCAACCATCAATTTCCTAGCATTCATCTCCCACATCTTAGCTTCTGCCCGAAGTTCCTCAACAATGTCTTCTGCAGCATCAAGATGGATCTTAGAAGCATTGGTCACACCAGAAGATGAAGTACCAAGCTCTTGCAAACAATGCAAATTCCCTGGGCCCGTAGTCTGGGAATTGAATGAAGAATTTGATTGAGAAGAATCATAAAAAGGAACATAGCAGAGGGATGACTTTTTCTGGGAACTGACTGAATCAGGTTTTCCAGTTCGTCCGGGTCCGTCATCTCCTAAAGAGCTGTTATGAGAGATACCCGCCCTCCCTATGAACCCCTCAGCAGAGTTACAACTTCCATGAGAACCAGGTCCAGAATAACTTGTTGCCTACAGTCAAGGGAAAACATGTCACAAGTATAACGATTTAGAATAAACAACAACAGAAGACTCTAAAAAATGAACGGCCTTAAGAACTTGCTAGGATGAAATTTCATTTGCATCTCCAGATAAGCCGTGAAAGTATATTAATCTGAATCTACCACTGAACTAAAGAAGTGTCAAAGTCACTCATGAATGCATGATATTGGATTAGAATGTTCTTACAATTATCCCACGTCAATAGACGCACACACAAATTCCCTAGACTTTTGTCAATAATCCTGAATTAACTACTAAAGTCGACAAAAAGTTTATATTTGAATTGTAATCTGAACTAGATAAGTGTTGAAAAGTTACTCCTGAATTCCTGATCAGGGATTAGATTCGAATAGATAATGCTTGAATTATTGTAGGTCCTATAGGCAAAAAAGTTTGTAAACACTCTATGCCACATAACAGATATACTCAAGGGGGAAATTTAAGATCTTACCCTACTCTCAACTTCAGGAGAAGAAGAGGTAGAGTCCAAATCTCCACTGGAGGGAGATTCAACATTCTGTACATATGAATGATTAGATCCATTAGACTCAACAGCTGCATCATCATTGTCTGCATTCAGATTCAGAATCTTTGTTTGGTGTCTCTCTCTTGATTCTCGAACCCTGAAAATGTACAAGAGATTAATAGTGTCAAGAATGGTTGTCTAAGATGATAGGAAAACTACCCTTAAATAGATACCTTAATTGTTCTCTTGGTGTGAGACACTGCACAGTTACCTGTCAAAAGTAGAACCACCAGGTCACAACTCCAATCGTCCAAAAAAAAAAAAAAAATTACCCAACCCAAGCTCAGTGATATAAATGTGTGGTAGCAACTTTAGAAAAAAAGGACTTGAGTTTTGACTTCATATACTCTTCCAAGCATGTATGATTTTTGATAGTAACTAGAATATGGGCCCCGTGCTTTGCACAGGATCTAAAATGAGCCTTAGCCATAAGTTTTACAACTTATAAATAATATAATAACTTTCAATAAGTTTTATATTATATATAAATATGTAGATTATTCTAATCTTAACCGTGACATGGTCTCTTTCTCTCTCTCTTTTAATATATATAACATGGTCCCATTTTAAATTGAGAGGTTTTACTTTATCTTCTCCCCATCTATCTCTTGTTGTTCGTGGGTAATCTAGAACAAAAGTTACTGAGAACTTACAGCAGTTCTCAATTTGTGTGCATTTTTTTTTTTTAACTTTTATCTAATAATATAGTACTCTGCATGGGTTGTTGAACCAAGTTTGGTACAATTTCTTGAAAATATGTTCAAGTTCTTCGCCCTATTATACACCACTAAGAAGGAACACTGTAAGTACAACATGACATTTTTCAGATATCAGTCCTAAGAGAAAGAGAAAAACTGTTGGGCCTTATATTTTTATCAGTCATAAGCGAAAAATTGTTCACCCTGTCATACACCACTAAGAAGCAACGCTAGGAGCAAGTACAACATGACATATTTTAGATCAGTCCTGAGAGAGAGAGAGAGAGACAAATAGATGGGCCTTATATTATTCACAATTCAAAAGAATTTAGTTGTTTATAAAAAGATGATGTTGAAACCCCTCCATTGATAAGACCTTAGTCTGGTCTTACACAACTCCTACGAAAAGCTGGATGAATATAAGTTGAAAGAGGAATAATCAATCAAAAGTTATACCCAAAATAATCAGTTGTCACTCCATCATCACATCTGCAAGAAGGAAAGAAACTGGTTCCCTCTAACATGAATCTGAGAGTAACATGTCAATGCTTTACCAAGTGTGCTGATTTGTGATATAACAAGGACTCAGAAGAATGATCAAACTGTGAACATGACCATTTTCTAATTTTACAAACATCAATTGCCTCATATTTGATTAACCTTTAGTCCCATATCCCATCACCCTTTACAATTCGAGGAAACTGAACTTCCCATTTCATCCAATTTGACAGATAACTGACCAGAAAATCAGGAAAGGGATGCTTTTTCTTTTCTGCAATCAGTAATATGTAAAATGAAAAATAAATTCCAGAGGCCTAAGTTATCTGACTCACATGCAAGACTGTCCCGTGGTTGCACTTATTCAGTGGGATTGAAAGCGGAACAGCAGCACTTGAACTCATGTAACTGGTCACATTTACTGTAGCTTCTCCAAGGATGCCAGATCTTGGTGACCCCTGTCGGAAAGTTATGAGTCACATGTTCCTTTTTTAGAGAATCAAAGAAATTCTTAGGATTAATTTTACAATGATAGAGAAGTCACCTACAGAGTACAAAATCCCATGCACAGTATGGATTCTGAGTAGGTTTGAAGTGCATAACAAAGAGTACACAATAAAACAATAGCAGCAATAATAGCAGTACCGTGGCACACAAAGCTTGAGGACACAATCTTCTATCTCCTTGGAAGAACTATTTTTTGAAACCCATATGGATTCTGAAATAGAATCCGCCCATTGGCAGCCTCCATTGCGTACTTGTACTCTGCTTGATTTTGCGATTGTTTTACCATTTTCTTCAGAGATAACAGAAATGAACAGCTTGCCCCACCCCTTGGGTACCTGTTATATAAGAATCAGCATTAATTAATGACTGAAGCAGCCTTATTTTTAATTTGCAACCCCAAGGTTGGAATACTCTTTGAAAGTATTTCCGTGTGCAATTGTGAATATCTCTTTCAAGACATCGTGAATATCATAATAGTTTTCTAATAATAAGTCATCATTCTATAGCAGCTGGTTTAATATTTAATGATCCATGACTATCTTAACCTACTAAATAAAAGCCACCAAGTTATAAATTTGAGATGCACTAAGCTATTCTTTACCAGCTCATTACAGTGCCATAATATTGCGGTCAGAATCCTCCCCTGCAAACCGGATTTGATGGAGTTTGTACCCAGTTGTTGATTTTAAATAATGTCGCATTCCCCAGACATCTCCAGTTGCTTTCAAAATTATATTATTTTAAATACCCAAGAAACGTTACTATGTTGTGTGTTTAATCGACTCGGTTACTTTTATATCTTCTCTGACACGAAAAAGGCATTTAGTTTCCACCTATCATGACTATATCGTATTAAGTGCATTATCATTGTGGATCACCGATTCCCAAAGAAAATACTCTGTAAGGCAAGGTGGACTCACTGCAGAAGATCATTCTACTTAAAACACAGACAATGCAACGAACAGTTGACAGATGATCCCTTCCCATTATGTCCAAAAGTTAAAGAATCAAGCAGAACGATTTAAGAGAAGAAAACTAAAAGGATATTATGGAAATAGGAAATAGAATAAAAGGAACCTGGAGGGCTTTTAAATGGGAGAATTTGAAATCAATTCTCTTCGCTGACTTAGATGGCCTATTTTGGTGCAGCCTAGACATTTTGCCCCCTCCAACTCGCTGTGTTAATCTGCTATGGGTCATATTCGGTTCTTTCCCAGTCACTCCCGCTTATTCAAGATAAGCATGACTACATTCACCACCACCATCACCACCTTCCACACTACTTTCATATCCTCAACCACCATTACCAACAAAAGGGAGGGGGAGAGGATAACGTCAATTAGCGAGAGGAACAAACTGAAGCGTAAGCTAGCAGCTATCTGTTATTTAACTGTTGCTTCAACCATTGGCGTTACATTGCTGGGGATATATATATATATATATATATTGAAAGGCATGAAGTAGAAGAGAGTGAAGTATTAGAGGAAGCAAAACCGAAGGAAACAGCATAGTACCTGTAGGCTGACGCGTCGCGCGGTGGTTGGCCAGGAATTTATAGGTATCAACGCTCCGAAATTCCTTCAGTTGCATCGAGACAGGAGAGAATAACAAGGTGGTGCAACTGCCCAGTGCTAACTACGAAGCCGAACGGGACAGAGCGAAGGCCTTTGTTCACAAATGGGCAATGACTTTGTTTTTGAGGGGTTAAAAAGTATGAAAAAAAAAAGAGTTGACGCTTTGCCCGTAAAATAATGAAAAAACAGATTCATGTTTATAATAATAGCAAAATTAACCAATTTTAAAGTTGAAAATTATGGTTTTCAAACTCCAAACAACTCTGTTACCATATTCATTCATTCTAGAAGCTTCATGCTTTATTTAAATTTTCAGGCTCAAAACACGAAGTATAAAGATTTAAAATTATATTTTTTTAATAAATATCATAATTTTAACTAACAATTCTCTTTTTCTGTTAATTTCAAATGTAAATAAAAAATTTGATCTTTTTTTAAACATCATCCTTTCATTTATTCTTTCTATTAAAAAATATAAAGTATTTTTGAAGAGTTAGATATTCAAAAAATAAAGACATTTTTAGTCTTTTGAGGTGTAATCATTGCCTTTTTTTAAAAGTACTCCTATTAATAGTGACTTTATATTTATTGTAAGGTATTTAATAGAGATAAATATAGAAAGATAAAATTAATTCGAAAGTAAAAAATTACTTTATTTAAGGATAAAATTTAATTAAAAATACCCTTATATTTTTAAATAGAGGGAGTATATATTACTCCCTCTTAAAAAAGGTAAGGCTTTTAAATCAAATTATACTCTCCAACTCCATAAAATAAACTAACTAATTAGCTATAAACAAGCACTATCTTTTTATGCTCATTCTTTTTTAATATAGTGTCTCACTTAAAGGTTCAATAGTTGAGTGGTTCATTTATTAAAAATTTTTTTAAAAAAAACTTATTGATTGCACATTAAAAAATTACAAATATCTTAAAAGAAATGACATATATTTTTCAAAGGAGGAAGCATTTTTCGGGCATAAACACCTTACAACCAGTTTTTTTCTTTTGTTAAACAACTTACAATCAATTTACTCAAATAACAAAGGAGTACAATCATATATTTTTCTTGATGTTTATTAACATCATTGATAAGCTAAATAAAAAATGAAAGCCCACCTATAATTCACTTTAAATTTCAGTAGTATGTGTATAATATAATGATGTGTTTTGCTTCATGAAAATTCGGATCTAGATCGATCCCCCTGTTTGGAGGCATATAAATTTATAGAAAATTTATTTTTATTATATTTTCTTTATAATTTTAAGTTCTTTCTGTATCATTTGAAATACTAATTATTTCAAACCTCTCATTCTCTCCATTTCATCAAATTTAAATAGGTAAATGTATATACTTAGCTACCAATTATTTTTTGAGAATCACTGAATAGCTCATATGTTATGAAATGGTGCAAAGAAATAAAAAAAAAAAATCATCAATGGAAGTCGGAGCATCCAACACCTCATGTTTATTTTTCACAATTTTTCAAAGCTTATGAGACCAACACTCTCGCACTCTCAAACAGCTCCTTACTTCTCCCATCTCTAACCCGAACCATGTTAAGGTGCTCACTGTCTCTTTCTTTACCTCTGAACGGAAGCCTTTGTTCTCTGGGCTCCAAGCTTGTTTTCAGTGACAGTACCATCTTCAATTCCCCTGCAAACCCATTAATTAACTCACTACCTTTGTTGAGCACTCGCAAAGCAATATCTTTGATTCTTCAAACTAACGACAATGGAGTGACCGACCTTCCTGGAAGGTAGAGGGAGGAATTGCATCTACAAGCTTAAAAAAAAAAAAAAGACCTTGAATATATCATTTGCCCCCATATAAAAATCCAACTGCCATTGTCCCTTAAAAAAGAAAAGAAAATTCATGTAGCCATATAAAAATTTCACTAATTTTCTAAAAAAATTATTTGACCAAAATCTTATTAATGTGTTTTAACTTTAAATAATAAGAGTTTCAAAAAGAAAGGAGCAATAGTTTATAAAAAATTTGTTTGATTGTTTAAATTAAAAATTTTATCCAAAAAAAAATTATACTATACAAAAGAGACAAGTTTTTTGGGCAAAAAAACATTTAGAGGAGTCAAGTCTTAGAGAATTATAGACAAAATTCTTATCAATTAAATCCATCTTTATTAGTCAAAACTCAAAAGGGATTCAGTTTTATTAATTAAAATAAAATCAAAATTACAATAGATATAATCTCTATGTTATTATAATTTTATATTTTATGCATAGTTCTTTAGTAGTATTTAATTTTAAGAGAAATTTTTATGTGATTTGGTGTACCACATTATCTATGATGAATCCAATAAAATTATATCCATTCAATCAAATAAAAATTTATGTGTCATTATTTACAATAAATTTATTTTTATTATAAAATACCTATTTTTTTTTTTCTTCTTTTCCTTCTCTACTCATTAATGTCAAAGTCAATCTATATTTAATGTTATCTTAATATTATGTTTTATTATATGGATTATGGATGATGTGGTATACTGAGCCCATATAAAAATTTCTCTTAATTTTAATAAATTTTATATTTAATATAATTTAATAAAAGTTTATAATTAATTTATTAACAATATTAATATTTATCTTATCCATAAACTAATTTTTCTAGGTCCGTCGTTGACAATGGGTGAGTCTAATGGCCGAGACTTACCAAAAGTTGAAGTGGATTGAATGGAAATGTCATGCCAGTGTGACAAAGCCAACACTCCAATGGTGATGAGCCCATCTGCTGCATGTAATTGGTCAGCGTCCCTTTTCTGAACAAGCATGGAAGTTCCCACTTGATGTTAGAGATGCTTTAGGAGTAGTGAAGATGAAGGAGAGGTCGCCAGAACGGAGGAGATAGGAAGACAGATGAGATTGCCAATAGAAAGGTCAGATTTGCCGAGAACAAACTTGAAATCCTTCCCCTGGAGATTTTCCCGTCAGCGACCATCTCAAGCTTCAGCTTTTCGTAGGTCAATTAAGGACCCATCATCTACTCCCTTAATTATGTTGGCTAGTAAATTGCTACTGCTATCCTCCGTTGGCTGTGACTGGTTAATGGTAGCCAAGAGAACGTTGATTTGACTTTTTCATTAACAGTGAAACGAAATTCAAGTTCTTGGTTTTGATTGTTTAAAGGTGAAGAAGAAAGAAGAGGAAGAAGGTACGGATGGTGAGTAGAAAGAGTGAGAGAGTGAAAAGGAAGCCAGAGGGTCGGGGAGGGAGAGGGAACATGCATGTGGGCTCCGAAGTGCAAAAAAAACAGACCTTAGTTGAAAATATGTGGTAAGTGCACCACTTTATAATCAAAAAAATAATTTATAACTAAATTTATATATTTATTCAATTCAAATTTACTATTTTAAATGCTATTTATTTGAATGATATTCCCTTTAATTTTATTTATAAGATATTTTTTAAAAAATAATTTTTAGTCTAAAATACAGGATATTTTATCTTATAATAATTAAATTTTTATTTCTTGATTTGTGAGAAAAATATCTAATATAATTGTATCATAATTTAAATTCAAAGTTAAAAATAAAAGTACACATCATTTTTTTATAATATTAAAAAAATAATATTTATTATAATGCAAGAAATGGTTGAAGGTACTCCATAATAAGGATAGGACGGAGTATAAGAGAGCATCTTTCATCTTCCACTGCCTGAGAACGAACGAGAATAACCTTAGCAATTCAACCTCCTTCATCGCACGGGAAGTCGACACCATTTAGTTCTAGAAATACCTCCTTCCACTCTAAGCTTCTCCACTTATTGTGCTAATGTTGCTAACTTTCTAGGGCGCAACGCTCTTAAGCAATTTGATGAGCGAATCCCTTGCTTTTAATGAAATGGAGCATTGCTGTGATTATCTATTCATAGCATGGGGATTGTTTCTAAAACCTCTTTTTCTAGTATTTAGATCACTGTGTCTTTCTTTATATGTAATATTCCCAATTTGGAAAGGACACTTGACTTATATTATTCACAATTTTTGTTTTAATATTGATAATGAATTGTTAGATTGTTCTTCTTATGTAAATATTAATAACTCAAAAACATTACATTGAAAATTCTTACATCCTCTTCAACGCCTCCATCTCTTCTTCTCCGGACCAACTTGTCAACTTTAATGTGATCAATACTTATTGCCCGTGCTCTTGTGTCTTCTCCTGCAAGTTCAAACAAAAGGGGGGATTGAAACAAGTTTATGCATGTGAAGATTGCAATGGACAAAATGTGAATGTCGAGGTAAATCTATTATGATATGAACTGATAGTGCATCTAAATTTTTCGAGCACTCTATATATACAGCAGGAACCCAACGTGTGAAACTTACCAGATTAAGATAACCAATGTCAAGTTGAATTTTGGTAACAAGGCCACGAACTCACTGTTATTGGAAGGATTTTGAATGATGTTGATATTGGTTATTTATAAATTATCCACCGCAGTCGCACTCCCTTCTTGTTCACTTTCCAAGGGCCTCTTTTTTTTTTTTTTTTTCTTTTTTGTTATGTGAGGTATTTTGGTTATTCTAAGGGCTTCTTATTGTCGTCATCAGGGTGTGAGTTTCATTGGCTCTCACCTCGTGGATCATGTAATTGCCAGGGGTGACATCATCATCGTTGTCGGTAACTTCTTCACCAGCCGAAAGGAGAATGCTGCCATCAAAATCATGGGTGTCTTTAATTTTCTCTAGCTAGCATTTTGGATTTAATGTTGTTCTCTCTTCCATTGGCCCCTGAACCAATTTTTCAATCTATAAGGGTTGAATTAGAAACAATAATCTAGGTGAGTTTAGGCATATTTGAATTGGTTACAATTCAGACTAAGTCAAATAAGCCCAAACTTAAAGAGAAAAGAATGAATAGCTTGGCCCAATCCAAATTTCTTTAATTTGAATTATTCAAGCTAAATTAAAATTAATTTAAGAAGTAGAAAAATTAATTTAAAGTGGAAAAAAAATTCAGAACAAATTTACAGTTTAATCGTATAAAAATAAGAGAAATACACGTGGCATAAGGATAAACTAAAAAGGACTCATTATTTGGATGAGGTGGCC